TGATCTCACAACCTGCCCTACCCCACAAGAAAAATGCAAATAATTATGGGAACCGATCTAATGTTTAGTTTCAAACTAGTTTTCTTTCTTCTCTTGCAGGCTTTGGAGATTTTCTTTTTCTTTTGGCTTGTGATTTTTTTTTTCCTCCATAGTCAGTAATGTAACAGAACTAAATTTTGCACATCTTCATATATATATGAAACTCTGCATAAGAATACGCAAAAATAGCCAGTTATTTTTCCTTTGCAGTAACTCTTTTTTGTAGAACTTTCCGAAGATGTGTTGCTTCCTTTTGCTGCTGAAAAGATCTGCCTTCTAGCTATTTTAACAGGAATTCCTAGGCAAGTACGCAAAGGCACTTCTGCCTTCTGCCGTAATTATTCTCTGCCCTCCCCTCTTTGCCAGTCTGTTATTGATCAGCAGTTGCAATAAGAATCCTTTGTCTGTCCCTGGCTCCCTCTGGGACAGGGAGATCCAGGCAAGGCCCCAGGGCCTCAGATTCATCCTGTACTCACCCATTCCACCCCACACCTGTTCCTCTCATGGTGCTCAGTGGACTGGTCGGGCCTAGGTTTTTGTTGTTGTTTTTTTAAACTCTAGAATTAAAAAGAAAAAACTTTTCGGTTTTAAAAAAAGACCATATTTTCTCCAGGAAATCAATGTTCTCTTGTATTAAGAAGCAGTGTCCCTGGGAAAGATTGCCATACACACTCTCCTTTGCACTCTGCAGCTCACAGTAAGGCAAAGTTGCTGCACTGACTCTGGTATGAATGTATTCACACTGGACAAAGCAGTGGCCCCAGCCCATGGCTGAGGAGGCAGGGCTGCAACAGGCTTTTGGATGGCCCTGGACAATGGTAAGCTTGCAGGTAGTCTGGAATTCCCCCACAAGCATTTTAGGAGATCTCTGGCAAGGCAGGTGGATTAATTGCACAGGGGCGAAAGGACTGGCCCAAGCCACATGATATGTAGCTGTTCAAAGACAACAAAATATCTTCAAAAGTATGCTGGGAGAAGGGGACATGTCCTCAGAAAAATGTTTCATTTTCTCACTAAGTGCTAAATCAGTTGATGTGACTCCTTACATATCCTTCCCTTTTCCACACATATCCTTCCCTTCTTCCTTAGGGAAGAAGATGTGTCCCTAAGGTCAGTTTTAAGGCCTGATTAGTAGTTTGGTTAAAAGTTCTAAACTAGAGCATCTTGACCTTTAAAAATCAGCATGAGATGCCAAGGAAATGGGTGTGTGTGTGTGTGTGTGTGTGTGTGTTTTAAAGAAAACTGTTGATGCCAAAAAATTGGGGGGGGGGGGGGAATGCTAGGAAAGCATCATGTGCATCATGTAGAACTACGTGGAAGAAGCTGATGCCTCTGAAATAATTAGCTCTCAATTCCAAATGAATCTAAAATGAGGTGCTAGAGTATCTCTCAGAAGACCTGGGTGGGAGTGGTAGGGAGGAGGGTGTGGCAAGAATGAAAAAAAACATTGTGTAAGAAACAAATGACTCTTCTACATAGTGACATTAAAGGCAACTTCCCTACCACAGTTGGTGTTTAATAAATCACAATGATGGCATCAAAGTAGCAGTGTGATGTAACAAAAATAAGATGGGTTTTAAATGCTGAAGTCCCAGTAGCTGTGACCTTAGACCAGTCATTTAATCTCCTTTGAGCCTTGATATCTTTATTTATAAAATTGGGGTCAATAATAATTCTTCTCCACGATTTCACAGTGCAGTTGAGAGAATTATTAGTGAGTGTCCTTATACAAAGTCAACATGTGGTGATGATATTGGCTGAATAGACAGGAAAGGGGTTCCAGGACACTGATCACATCTGCTTCCTGCTGTGGTGCTAGTTATGTAATACATATGTGGCCACTTCGAAAAGTTGTTAGGATTTGCACTCTTTTACAAACATATACTTCCCTAAAACTTTTACTTTTAAAAGTTACAGTTTTTTCAAGGTGGAACACTCATGATAAAAACAAGAAAAACACTAAATATAAAGTCATCAGAAGCTCATCAATGTTAGCCTCATTTCTCATCCTAGTCACTCTATCATACATGGAGGTTTGGGAATCAAAAGGGATCGCTGAGAATCATCAGTTATTTTCTCTGTGTCTGTTTTGCTTCTTATGACTAGTATTTTCCTAGAGGAAAGAAGCTGGAAGAACGAACCAGGAAGTTTCCTACATGCCAGAGGGGTCAGCACTAAAAAGAAAGAAGCCCAAGTTGTTCACATCAAGGGAAAGATGTGATTAGAGAGATGTGACATGCAAAGAAATTATCTGAAAAGTGAATTCAGTTGGGAAAATATAAGCCCCAAAGAGCCCGAGCAGCTGGTCATGATCAGATTCTCCATCGTTCTGTCAAATGTAATCGTATCTGAGTTGGCAGGGTATTTATTGCTAAAGTCGAAGGGCCAGATTTTACACTAAACATATTTACACATTTACATTCGTTGCCCTATAAACACACCACGTTTCACTGGCCATGACATCAAACACATTTACCAACAAAAAGCATATGTGTAATTACAGAATCATAGAGGAGGTAAGTGGCAGCTGATGGGCAATAAGCATGCACGCCTGTGTATGTGTATGTGTGACCCAGCTGCACCACCAGGAAACCGGCAGAGACAAGAATGAATGCAGACAATGCTGGGCCCACTTCACTTGTCCTCTGCTCTCCAGGCCTATCCTTGTCTGGTTTAGTTCTAAAGGGGGTGATGGACCCCCCTGGCATTCCAATTAGATGCATGGTTACCCCCCTGGAAGAGCCCTGAGAGACTAGGGAGGTTCCTGGGCATATTTCTGATTTGGATTGAGTTTGATGCTGATATGACCTTTAAATTGCCCCCCTGAAATGACTTTTCTCAGTCCGTAATAAAAACAGGTGTGAGCAGAATGTGTAGCCAGCAGAAAATTTTAAAATTTTAACTGGAGTCCTTGATTCCTAGTTTGGGTAGTATGATCAGATCCCTACCCATCAACAGCAATTGTAATAACACCATTAGCCGCTCCAAGCTTGGTCCTCGATCAAACAAGGAAATCAGAGCCACTGGTGCTAGAGAGAGAAAAACACAACAGGCACAGCCTCAACCACTGGCCTCAGACAGGCTTTAATAAATGACAAAGGCTGGTTTTCCATCAAAATAATCACCTTCCATCAGAATAACCACCTCCCCCAACTCTCTCAGAGGACAGACTACAGAAAGAAATGGTAGGTTTATAAAAAAGAAAAAAAACGGTGAAGGGCAGAAAAGCCTTTTCCTGAGATGAATGCCTACTACATTCACTGCAAGAATTTTGATCATAAATACATCCAGAATTCCAGTTCCATCAACAGAAAGTTTGGCCGGGAAAGAGCTGCCAAGGGGCCAGACAAGTTGAGATGTGTAAACATACAGATGCTTCAGGGAGCAAAAAATAAGAAGCGTCTTCACAAATTTTTTCCTTTACCTCCCCAGTTCATTTTTCAAATTATTTTCTTTTTTTAAGGGGAAGGGAAGTGGCCCTTAAATAAATGCATGGGATGGGATGGACAGGAAACAAGTTGTTGAGAAGAAGCGCTAGCTTCTTATTTTAAAGAAATAAAATAATTACCCAATAGAGAAAAGGGAAATCAACCAAGGAACGATCTAAGGTCATGACACCATGTGTGGTACAAGAAGCAATTCAACCCATAAGGGCTTCATTACCCCCGCAATAGATAACATTTGGCTAAATCTAGCTGCAGATTAAATCTCCGCAGCACAACAGAGCCCTGAATGGAGAGGCTCCTTTTTGTGTGGTCCTTCTCCGGGAGCTGCCTGAACCATTAGCCCCAATATATCCCTCTCCCTATTAACTGCAATTCCCTCCCGACTGAGCTTCGGTCATTTGTCTCGAGGCTCTACGGGGGCGTTTGATGAGCAGAGAAACAAGGAGAAGGGGAGAAAAGCGTCGGGTTAATGAGTTGTAGCAAATCCACACTTTGTAGTTGGGAGGAGGAGAGCTGGTGGCCAATGTTTGTCCAACTGGTTTATTTTTCGAGACCCAGCCTATTGAGGAAGGCTTGTTCAAGCAGGCTTCGTTCCTACAAACACACAAACATCCTTCTGTTTGCCTACAAAGAAAAGGGGACCAGCGCTGGATTTGCATGCGAATGAGGAGCCCCAGGAGGAGACGTCCTTGCCCATCAAAGGCCGCGGTAGCGGCGGCCTGGCGGCCTTTGTTCCAGCACCTGCTCGCAGGCGCGGCCTGACGGGGCTCGCCCCGCGCTCCTGACTCGCCCGTCCAGGGTCCTCTGCCCACTCGTCCCTCACCTGGCCTGCGGTCCACACCTCTCTCAGCTCATACCTCACCCGCCCCGCGGCCCTGCTACCCCCAGTCTCAACCGCCTGGTGAGCAAGCCCGCAGGGTAGGCACGGCGGAGAGCGGAACCCCAAACCCAGAGGGTGGGGAGCTGAGCGGTGGGACGCAACACTCGGCATCCAGGCGACTTGGATTTGCACTTTCCTTTAGCTGTGGGCTCACGCTGCTCTCCACCTGTTTAAAAACAGGCTTGCGGTCTCCAGTGGGGGCGCGTGAAGCAGGACCCCAACCCGGGGACCTGGAGCGAGGCCTGGATCGCCCGGTGCCTTGTTGCCATTTTCTTAAATGCACTGACAACCCCGGACATGGGGCCCATCCCGGCACTTTTGAAGACGTGAGAATAGGAACGAGGAGACAAGATTAACCAGGATTCCCTGCTTTCGGGACATCCAAGCATCGGGCAAAAATTAAAAATACACACGGTTTTGTTCTGGCTGTCTCTCCTCGTAATTATTTTCAGATCTAAATTTCAGATGCGTTCGTTACAGAAGGCTACCAGGCGCGCCAGCAGTGTCTGTGCCGTTTGGATTCCGCCTGCCAACGCCTCTCCACCCGGGGCGGTGCGTGGGGTCCGGACGTTCTCGGGGTCAATAACTCCTCTCTCTTAGCCAGGCTAGAGTAAAAGTAACTTTCTATATAAAATTTTGCTCTAACAATATTTTAATTTGTATCTATAGAGTTAGCGGTAAGTTTGAAGGTGAGAGGGTTTAACCTCCTTCAAACATTTCACAAGGAGGGGAACAAACAGCTTCATTTGAGCCCGTGAAAATCCGTTTTCTCCCTAAAAAGAGACAGGGTGTCATGAGTGAGTATCATTACAAAATATTGACCCTATAATGCAGACTTCATTAACCTGGTAAGTTTAATCTGCAAATCTTCAGATATACACCTGTCCAGACATTTTAAAGAAATTGAATAAACAGATTTAATCCCCACTAAAAACACTAACGTCAGACATTTAAATTATGTGTTACATATGCCTAGGTTTTATTTGGAGCGCCCATTTTCTCATGCAATAGTTAATAAAAAGACATTAAAATTTGAAAGATAAACCTAAATTCAGTAAAAATAATTAATGAACACCTGATGTATTTTCACTTTTTATTCTTTAAACCATCCTAAAGTTGAAGGTTATCTTAAATACCTTAAATCATTCACTTAAGCCAGAATTTCAATAAATCTGTCTTTTAAGAGAAAAACCTCTTTATACAATTACTCGAATTCCTTCCATCTGCAACATGGTAGCTGTAAATACTGGCATTTTAAAATATGATTTATTTCATATATGCAAATACGTCTTTATTCAGGGCTTTACCTGATGATCATCTCTACTAATTTTTCCTATTAGAATTCTGAAACTAGAAACTGCCTCTGCTTGTTTCACTTCTATTACAAGATATTTTGCAGAGTTTTTGCAGACATAATATTGTTAACTGAGTGGAAACTGGGAAGGAAACTCAAAAATGAAATGCAAAGTTTCTATAAAATTATCTTTGGGTACCTGTGGCTTTAATTTTAACATACCTCAATGCGCTTTAAAATGACATAGTATCAGATTTGAAAATGTATACCAAAGTAACTTATTTTATTTGCAGTCATTTAAAAGTAACTTATTTTATTTGTAGTCATTTAAAAGTAATTTCTGATCTCCTACAGAAAATTCTGATCTTCCTGGTTTTCACTTAGGAAGTTCAAATGAAAAATCATGGCATGATGCTGCTGTTAAATTCTCTCTGAAAATATTTAAGTCTGCTCCATATCGGGTTCCTACTTACCCCACATAGAAACTTTTTTAAGCAGAAAAGAAAATAAACTAAGAAGGGGACAACTGAGGCCAATTATTTTGGTGAATTTTCTTTGAAAATTAAGCATTTTTATTTCTGAAAAAGTGTAAAAATCTTACATTTAGAATAGTACAATAATAATTGCCAGTAAAATTTACAATACTCCTTGTAAAGAATACACAGTAAGTACAAAATAAAAATTCCGCACGTCTGTTATGATACAAAACACAGGTTGAAATAAGAAATGATAATTTTGACTTCTTTTCCTTGTGTAAACATGTTAACCATTTTTTTCCTTTTCATGAAAAAGTACTCTAGACAAATGTCCTCAAAAAAGTATTGCTTTGCTGGCATTCTTCGAGACCTTCACTATTTTTGTATTATTCTTTTGAACATTATTTTTTAACGCCTGGACCTGAGAATCTGTACACCTCAAAAGGCTTAGTTGTTATTCATCTGCCAAACGTCTAGGGAGCCCCTAGTGCCTTCACAAGGCGAACCCCCTTCCCCAACACCCTCTTCCTCCCTGCCCCAGGTCGCGGGGCTGTAGCATAGGACGACTCTGCATAAACAGAGGGACCCGCAGAGCCGAAAAGCGCGCCGGAGCTGTTGACAAACAGTTTCGTCTTAAAATTCGCAGCGGAGAAAATGGGCGCGCAAGGTCGAGAGGGGCCGCACCCGGAGGAGCGAACAAAACACCGACCCACCGAGAGGAGAAAAGGAGCCGGGATTCCTACCTTCTTCCTCGAGCAGGCTAACATAGCGTTATTAACAATTGGAAATCCTAGCAGTAAAGTTCTCGACACTGGACAGGGCAGTCCCTTGGTGCAGAGTCCCCAGGGCAGCGGACGAGGAGACAGAGGAGGCAGCGGCGGCCGCGGCGGCCACGAGGGAGCGGGTGAGCGCGGCTGCCGGGCCCACGGCCGCCTGCGCCGCGCAGCCTCCTCCGCCGGATCCCGGCGCGGGTGGCGCTGCCACCGGCGAGGGCGAGGGCGAAGCCTGAGCGGCGGCGGCGGCGGCCTGCGCAGCGGCGGCGGCAGCGGCGGCCGGGCCCAGGCTGCCCCCGATGATGCTCTCGATGGAGAAGGGCGACCGCGCCAGCGCAGAGGCGCCCGGGCCGCCTGCCTTGGCCGCGGAGGCCGGCAGGGGGCCTGGCAGGGCGGCGCCGAGCGGGTGCGGCCGGTAGCCGAAGGCTGTCCGGGCCAGCTCGGCGGCAGCGCCGTGCGGCGGCGGCGGAGGCGGCGGGGGCGAGTGAGGATGGAAGGCGGCGGCGGCGGCGGCCGCGGCTGCGGCGGCGGCGAAGAGGGCCGAGGGCGGCGCGTAGGGCGGCAGCTGCAGGCCGTAGCCACAGCCGTAGGGGCCGTAGCCATAGGCATGCGGGGGCGGCGGCGGCGCAGGCGGGAAGAGTGCTGCGGCGGCGGCGGCCGGATCGCCCGCGCCCCCTGCGGCTCCCGCGCCGCGCAGCAGCAGCGACTCGGCGGCAGCGGCGTTGGGCGGGAGGAGCGGCTGCCGCTTGAAGCGCTTCCTCCGGCGCAGGAAGCTGCCGTTGTCGAACATGTCCGCGGACTCGGGGTCCAGCGTCCAGTAGTTGCCCTTGCCCGGGTTGCCGGGCTCGCGGGGGATCTTGACAAAGCAGTCGTTGAGCGAGAGGTTGTGGCGGATGCTGTTCTGCCAGGCGGGGAACTTCTCCCGGTAGTAGGGGAAGCGGCCGCTGATGAACTCGCAGATCTCGCTCAGCGTCAGCCGCTTCTTGGGGCTCTGCAGGATGGCCATGGTGATGAGCGCAATGTACGAGTAGGGCGGCTTCACCAGTGGGTTCTTGGCGCCGCTAACCGCGCTCCCGCCGCTGCCGCCGCCGCCGCCAACCGCTCCCGCGCCCGCGCCCGTGCCGCCGCCCCCACCGGCTCCCGCCCCCGCCGCCGGGGCCGGACCCGGGGGCGCCGGGGACCCCCCAGCAGGCGGGGCTAGCAGGATGTCATCGTCGTCGTCCTCCTCCTCCAGGTCCTCCAGCTCGTCCTCCCCGGCGTACGAGCGCCGCCGCCGCCGCTGCGCGGGGACAGCCAGCCGGGGCCCGCCACCGCCGCCCTCGTCGTCGTCCTCCTCTTCCTCGTCGTCTTCGTCCTCGCCCTCCCCAACCACGTCGATGTCTGTCTCCTCGGCGAGGCCGGAGGCATCGGACATCTCCGTGCTCAGGGTCATAGCTGTGGTGCGGCGGCGGCAGGGCGGCGCATGGGGGCGCCGGGCTCCGGGCTCCCTCTGCGCCCCAGCCCGGGTCCCGGGCGGCTGGCCCGGCCGGGGGGCGCCACGCTGAGGGCGCTGCGGCTGCCGGAGCTGCGCTGGGGCCACCGGGTGGTGGCGGAGTCTCGCACGCCGACTTTGTAACTCCTGCGCCGCTGCGGTAGCCGCGCGTCTGCTGCGCTCGCTGGACTCCGCTCGCGTCTGGCCCGGGCGGAGGACTTGACCTCCTCTCGGAGCAGCTTTTGCCCCGTCGGTTGAGGAGGGGTGGCGGGGCGCGGGCGGGCGAATCAGAATGCCAGGCGCCCAGGAACGTGCCGGACGGGTGAGAGTCTAGAAACAGAGCTCTGCGAGACCAGGGCTGAGTCCAGGAGAGGGCGGACCTTCCTCGGCTTATAGCTGAAGGGGGCCTGTCACATGGTGTGCACGTCAGAGCGCTGCCGAGGGAAGGAAAGAAAGCCTAGGAAATCTGCCCTGCTCGGGAGAGAAAATTCACTCCTAGGAGGGAGAATTTTCTCCCTTTCTGAGAAAAGTGGGGAAGAGAGCGGACCCCACTATTTCTTGCCAAAGGGGCTGATACCCGAATTACGCGGCGGTCTATACCAAGGTCCTCTGCACAAGTTAGAGTTCCCAGCCTCCTCGATAAGTCATCCACTCTCACCTCAGAAGCACACCCTCGACGCTCCTGTCTGACTCCTCCACGGCCTGTAGGAGCCGTCCAGACGGGGGATAAGCACCCCATCCTCAGGTGATCCCTGGGGACGCTTTGGGCTCTATTGGGGGTGTCCCAGCTCCCACAGATTGGGCGAGCGGCTTCCCATTTTAAGCACGATAATAATTGTTTATTGACCCTTTAACCCCTTCTCTTCGGTCTTACTCCAAAAACGTTTGTTTTCCGCCATCAGTTAATAAAAATGCTGTGAGACTGGCGTTTTAGTCACTTATATGCAACTGAATGCCCTAGAGACTTGACAGTTAAACTAAGCGACTCGAATGAGAAGATCTGACAAATGTCATGGGAATTAGGAATGTAACAATTGAATTCGGAGAATAGAAAATTTTAGTAAAAACCCAAATACATGCACAAAAATTGCACCTATGAACTACTCAAAAAAGTTCGACCAGCCTAGCCAATAGGGTGAAACTCCGTCTCTACTAAAAATACAAAAACTTAGCGGGCGGCTCTTGTAATCCCATCTACTCAGGAGGCTGAGGCAGGAGTATCGCTTGAACCCGGGAATCGGAGTTTGCAGTGAGAGGATATCGCGCCACTGCACTGAACTCCAGCCTGGGCAACAGGAGCGAAGCTCCGCCTCAATATATATATATATACAGTTTGTTCATAATGGGGCTAAATAGTTCTCAGTAGGAGGAACATTTTAGTCAGTACTTCATAGTAATCTCAAAATACTTAAATTACATAACATATACATATTTTACTCAGACAGGCTTATTAATAGAAACTGATAGTCGACTTTAAGATAAATGTGTTTTTGGAAAATCCATTACTCTTAGTACCTTCTGGTGAAATGAAAAAAATTTATGAGATTCATATTCCGCTTAATTCAGTTTTCTCAGGTGACAACGTAGTGGAGATAATTAAAATATGATGCTTTTTAAAAAGATACCTATCTTTATCACCAACTCAAACGAGCTATTTTGGCTCGTGGAAAAATCCTAATAGTTGTGGAATTCATATTCACTTAGTCATACCTTCTGGATTGGTGCATTTCCTAGAATGCTTCTATTTCAAAGAAGGAAGCTTGCCCTAAAAGTTTAACTTTCTGATTAAAATGACCTCTTGACAAGAACTAAGAATCAATATTCAATGGCGTTCTGTAGGAACAGCCATCACCTGCCCCTGTGTATATCATTTTATTGACCAAATACTTTTCGCATTTTGAAACGTGTCATTACTAGCGCTATCAATCACAGAGCGTCAAAAATAAACTGTTCCTCCATCTAAGAACTCTTTTAAATTCGAGTTTTTTGGTGCTGAGGACTGCTACCAGCATTACTCTTACAAATGACCCATAAAGGCTATCATAGGTCTTTGAACGATCTGTGAGAATGCCTCGACGCTGTAAATAAATTATTTTTCATTGACTCTCGTTTGATATATGGCTGAACCATTTAATTACTGGAATAGGCTGAGCACTAACTTGAGCCAACATTAATCAGCGCTATTAATCAAGCATCACATTGCTTTGTTGATGCAGCCAGGAGTCCTTACGAAGCAGTTCACTTTTACGTTGAAAAGTTTAAGTTTTATAAGTACTCAGTCGATATCTAAATAAACACCATCACTTTCGCAGCACTGAGGGTTGGTGTGTGGCGAAGTATTCAAAGATGAAACAGGAAAAATTTCTTCGCAGACCATTAATTACTTTAGGCGACGGTTTACAGACTTCATTCCGTTCATGGAGCGGGAGACAGACTGCATTCATTTGTAACTTTGTCCGCAAGTTCTTCCCCAAAGAGTTAAGAGGTTCTTCCCTGGAAACGTTTGTAAAACGTGGCGAATTATCACCGGGCCACTCCGGGGAAAGTATTAGGATTTACTGAAGGGCACAGTGGAAGATCAGCCCAGAGGGACCGCTGCAGAGACGGGGAACGGCCACTAAGATTTGGGCGAGCTTTACTGAAGCTTCACATTTGGATATGACCACTTGCTTTGTTTGCTTAATTAAGCTAGATGTTTGTACGCAACTTTCAGCTCCGCACTCGCGAAGTTCCTGGAACACAGAAACCCAAGCGATTCACGTCTCTCACGTCCCCCTGGTCTCCCCCGTCGTTCCCCACCCCGGGCCTCCCTCCCTACTGCGCTTCCAGCTTTCGGCCGCGACTGGTAACTCTCCTCCCGCTCCTCACCCCGAAGCTGGTACGTGGGACTAAAACCTTTCCCAGAGGGGAACCTGGGAAGCGACGCGGCGACCCCTCTCCCGCGCGCGCGGCTCGCATGCACGCGGAAAGTAGAGGGGCGCGGGTCCCGGTGGTGCCTGCGCGGGGCAGAGCTGCCCCCTGGCGGCGGCGCGGCGACCTGCGGGCCCTCGCATCCGGGCCGGGAACTCCCAAGGGAGCTCGGCCAGTGCGGGGAATTCGCCCAGCAAACTGCGTTTTTCGAGTGTGGGCAGCTGGCTCCCGGGCGTCTCTCCCACTGGCTGCGGGCGGCCGGGACTGGGCAGGCGTGGAGGCAGGTCCTTGGACTGCAGGCTTCGGCTTTCTCTCCCCCCACCCCAGCTAGCGGTTTGGGCGCTCCAGGAGCCCCCGCGCGGGGGGTTACGGGAATTACGCTCGGTGGGAGCCGGGGAGGCAGTACGACCCTCGGGAGCCTCTGCCTCCGCCCTTTGGCCTTGGTCCCTGACCGTGAACGCCCCAGGCCCAGGGACCTCCTTCGGCAGATGAGGGCTGGCAGAGACCTGGGGGGCGCAGACTCCTGAGGCAGGAGGGCTATTCCTTGTGCATCCCAGGACTTTACCCGTGATCGTGAACATGAACGTGTTTTCAACCCCTGCTGTTTCCCCAGCGCCTCATCCCTCCTGCTAGGAGTCATTCCCGAAGCCTGTATTGAGATTCTGGTTGTGCCTGCCAGTCTGAGCCCGGTAAAGAGAGAAGAAAACGCGAGTCACTGGTCTGAGGGAGTGTAGACAGGTAGGTACTTATTCTGGCCAATGATGAGTGCCTCCTGAGCGCCGCGCAAAGAGAAGGGATGCCTGGAGTCGCTGCCCGGGGCCCTTTCAGCCTTCGCCGTCCTTCCTCGGGGCTGCATGCATTTCCACTACTCTTAAACTCAAGCGTCTGGAGGCCAAAACCTGGGATCTGAGTTGTTTTTTGTTTACTGGGGTAGGGGTAGGGGCGGGTAGGGTTGTAAAATACACATGATTTACCATTTTAGCCATCTTAAGTGTACACTTCAGAGGCACTATGTACAGTCACATTGTTGTGCAGCTGTTACCGCTATCAATTTCCATCATCCCAAACTGAAATTTTGTACCTATTAAAAAAAAGTGGCCGGGCGCGGTGGCTCAAGCCTGTAATCCCAGCACTTTGGGAGGCCGAGGCGGGTGGATCACGAGGTCAAGAGATCGAGACTATCCTGATCAACATGGTGAAACCCGTCTCTACTAAAAATACAAAAAATTAGCTGGGCATGGTGGCGCGTGCCTGTAATCCCAGCTACTCGGGAGGCTGAGGCAGGAGAATTGCCTGAACCCAGGAGGCAGAGGTTGCGGTGAGCCGAGATAGCGCCATTGCACTCCAGCCTGGGTAACAAGAGCGAAACTCCGTCTCAAAAAAAAAAAAAAGTAACTCCCCACTTCCCCAACCATCCTTCTATTCCCCCTCACCTTTTACCAGCCACTGGCAACCACTGTTCTACTTTCTGTCTCTATGCAATTATTTACTGTAGGTACATCATCTGAGTGGAATCATAATCACATTGGTCCATTGTGTCTGATTTATTTCTCTTAGCATAATGTCTTTAAAGGTCATCCGTATGGAAGCTTGTATCAAAGTATCTTCTTTTTACCACTGAATAATGTTCCATTGAATGTATATGCCACATTTTGTTTATCCATCCGTCCACTGGTGGACATTTGGGTTACTTCTTTTTTTCTGTTAGTTTTTGAACCTCCACTCCTCTTTGACTACTCTGCATGCAGTAGACACTGATAAAATGTTTGATATATTCATTTTCCTATATCTTTTTCACCCCAGAAACCCTCAAAGGAAGCCCGTTGTCCTAACAGAGCACACACATTGGTGAAGTGACGGGGAAGGTTTCTGCTGTGTGCAACATAAGGGGGACTCGCCCTTCTGGATTTGAAACCTCAACTTGTTCCCAATTTTGAGACTTTCAGACTCAGACAATGAACATCACCTTCAGTAAAAAGGCATGAGTTGAGACTCCTCCAGAATTAGTTCTGGACAAAACTGTGATCATCTCCCCTCCCACCCCATGCTTTTACACCCTAAGCCCCCCTCCTTACCTGTCCTGATCCTTAGGAGCCCCAAAATGACCTAAAATTTTTCTCTGGCAGTCTAGGGTGCTTCACTTTAGCATTCTTCTGTGGTGAACATTACCTGCCACTCACGCTGGTTCCCACATGCCAAGCTAATTTCAACAACGGATGAAGTGGGTACCTCCATGTGATGGCTGAGGAAACAGGTTCTGGGTGTTGCAACTAAGCTTCATGGAGGCAGCCATGACAGAGCAGAGCCTTCCATCCTTCTGTCCAGGTCGGCAGCCTCTCCCAAAGCAGGACTCCATGGGCCAGGCTCTTTCCACCCCCACCCTGCTTCTTCAGGCCAATTCTTACATGGTAAGTTGGCCAGAACTTACTTCAGGCCGGTTCTTACTGAAAATAAGCCCAAGGCAAGCTGCTACTGGCTGACGGTGTTTGGTGCCTTTCCAAAGAGTAGGTTCATTTTAACCTGGGCATCCTGTTGATACTGCCTAATCAAGGTTCCACTCATGGGTCCTTTATAGAGAGTGTGGTTGGGAGGGGAGATTCCCTTGTGAAGAAGATATTTTAGTGTCCCACTAGGCAGCTTCTGCTTGCACAACAATTCCTTTAAAAAAGCATTTCATGACCTGAGCAGTACTCAGACATCAAGAATTCAGAATGTCAGCAGAAGTTCAAATCTGTGTTTTTTAATGCCAAAATTATTTACATGGACT